TGGAGAACATTGTCAAGCGCCCCAACGTGGTAAGAGAGCCCGTGGTGATGAATTTTATTTCAGCTTCTTCCCAGAAAGAAATCTGGAAGTTTAAGCAAGGTGGTGGGAAGTGTCCGGAACTCCTGCTCGTTTAGTGTCAGGATCTCATTTTTAGCCAAGTAGAAAGATGGTCTCCTTGACAGTGGAACTTAATTTACAGGAATTAGGTACCTGATGAGCTGTTAATCATGCAATTTGCACTGATACACAGTTCCTCTCAAGGTATTTAGGGGAAACTTCATCCAAAATTAAATACCTATCTGGTGTTTTTCCTCCTCTAAGGAAGCTTAAACTATCAGGAAGCTTGGATTCATTATATATGAACACTCCTCTTACCTAAAAAATGTTCAGGGGGTTCCAAAGCAAAAAAAGTTGGAAACACAATTGTTAAATATAGAAATGTTTACATAATTAAATCAGCATAATCACTGCTATGTCAGAATTCGCAGTAGTGGAAGGGGGTAGATTTGTACATACTTTTTAAAGGTAGAGGCCTCTTGTGATTTTATTCCCGGTGGAGTCACTAGCATGAAACTGACCTTATTAGTGAAGATGATTTAATTTATCTCTGAAATGTAGCCACATCTGCTGTGCTAGCATGTAGCTGGATGTAAAACTACAGAAGTGTTGCTTTCTGACACTTTTCGCCTGATTTCTAAGTCCTTTTCTAGTTACAGCAGCAGGTTTTTTTCTGCTGGGGACATCTTTTACCCAAGAAGACAACATAAACACCACACTTCAGCCTGAATGGTCACAAATAAATGACAGCTTTAATTGCTGATTTGTAGAAGTAATTCTTAACTAGACTTCTTTGTTCTTTTATACACAGATCACAAATTGAATATTAAACACATATTTAGAAGTTCATTCAGATTTTTGCTGTCATTCAGACACTTAGCGGGCAATTTGAAGGTGCTCTGGGGAGTTCCTTGTGTTCAATTGATTCCGGTTTTCCTAAACACATTGTGCTCAGCGAGCTTTTAAAACATCTGTGCAAATTTCCTGGGTGCTTAGAGATGAAATACGCAGTTAGGTACCTGTTATCACGTGAAAATGGTTATTTCATAGTTGTTTAAAATGGCCTGAGTCCACAGTTTGTAAAACCAAGAATATTGAGATCTCACTGAAAGAGAGATTTGCATTCCCATGGGAGTAGAAGAGAGGGTGTTGTGGAAGTCCAGTGCTCCAAGTCAGCTCCCATATATTTGTGTAAGATGTTCCCTTGAATCCTGCAGATTTTTTAGCCCATGTAAGGCAGAAATACCTGATTTAGGTTCCCTGTTGTGTAAACTCTGGGTTGCAATGTCAGAATGTGACAATTATTTCAGAATCAGGGCAGTAAGCAAGTTTTGTTTTCACATACAGTTGTGATATTAATGGAATAAGTCCTATTTCCTCTTTGAAATGGAAGATATTAGCATCATATAATCCCTTTTATGTTTGCATTTTGATGTTCATAAATGCAATTTCTAGGCTGTTGGCTACAAAAATGCCACAGAGAGTACAAGAGAAGGTGCTCACAGGTGCCCATGAGACAGAATTTGCACTCAGGTAAATTGACAGTAAAATTCTCCTTCCCCTGTGTTTTAAAGGGCTGTGAGTTGTGGTGATGAAAAACTGCATCTTAACAAGTTGGGTGCATGGGACTTTTGCTGAACAGCAAGGTTCTCTGTCTGTGAACATCTGCTACTGTCACTAGAGGAGTTTTAGCCAACAAGAATATGTCCTACCATGTGTTCAGGAGCTAACAGTTGATTTTGGTGACATTTCAGGTGGACTTAGTCGACTGGGTGGATAATATGTGGCCACAGCACTTGAAGGAGAGACAGACAGATGCTACCAATGCTATTTCAGAGATGAAATACCCCAAAGTGAAAAAGTAAGTCTTTAGAAATCTCTGCTCTTGACTGCCTTAAACATTTTAACTTTGCTGAATACAATCTTTAATCAAGCATCTTTGAAAAGTGCGGTTTTATTTTTCAGTTTTGAGCTACTGTTTTGAAAGTGGCAGACTGACCTTAAGCAGTAAATTCTCTGAAAGTGCTGCCCAAAGAAATCACATCACACAGATGTGTCACACACTATAGTCAGAGTCCTGCTGTAGGCTGGGCTCAGATCCTGAGGAGCTTCTAAACTGCTAATGACAGACATTAGAAGCTGAGAAATGTTTTGTGAAAGGAGCTTGAAGTCCATCTCTAATAGGTGTGTGCGACTTCCTAGAAACTCTGTCACTGCCCTTCCTGCCAGTTTGCTTTTCTATTCACTTTTTCAAGAGCAAGGTCAAAGATTGGACTGATTATCGAGGCTCAGGACCTGCTCAGAGCAGGTTTGAGACTGAACACAAGAGCAGTTTGTCCTGGTTCTGCCTATCTCAGCTGTAGGTTCTGGGCAAGCATAGGCTCACCTTGCTTTTTCTTCTGCTTTAATGTCTTCCTGGAAACTTCTTATGTTATGATTGGAAAAAGGAACTATTTGGGAGCCTCAAAACGTGCACTGCAAGTTTCATGGGAATGAGTACAGCTGAGATAGGCTTCCTTTAGTGATGTAATGACCTGTATGGCTGATGAACACCAGGTAATCCTGGAAGCCCTTCACTGCTGTTTGTTTTATTGGCCAGACGAAATGCTGGCAGCATCCCAGGCTCTGCTGTTAAACTGACCTCTGGTGTTCTGCAAACCACCCAGAACTCCTTCCAAACTGTAAAATAGATTGGTACTAACAGATACAAAGGAGTGTGCTGTCAGGAAGTTATATGTAGCATTTACTCTTGTTCTGTAAAAATAAACATTTTGGAAGGTAAAGACCTCCAAAGAAGAGAGACTCTGTGGCAGGAATTGTGGATTATGCTCAGCACGACTGATTTCAGTGGAAGTTAAAGATACTCCTACATTTTGAAAAGATCAAACTGCTCATTAGGGTAACTGGATGTGGATTGGAGTGCCTCATGTATTTGGAAATGTCCTAAGTGACTTGTCTGAGGTCACACAAACCAGCAGCAGAGCAGCATTTGCTTCCCAAGTGGTTAGTCAGCAACATAACATTATTTATAATTTGCCAGAGCTAAGAAACTTAATCATGATTCAGGGTCTAAGGATTCATGGATGGTACAAGGAAAGAAGTAAAGGAAACTATTCCTTTCCTAGAGAAGGCACACTCCAGATGCTGAAAAAGATGTAGCAAGCACACAGAGCAAGGCAGAGATGGTTTGAAAGATAAGGTAGCAACATGACTAACAGAATTTAGCAGAAAAAGCAGAGTATATGCTTGCAGTTCACTACTTGCATCATGAAATGCCAGATGGTAGGTTTCAAAGGGATTTTAGAGACGTACCAATTCAACAGATTTTGACATGGAGTTTTTCCCATTTGTGGAGGGTGGCCTGGTAGAAAGGCAGGAGATGCCTGATGAAGAAGCAGACAGGGAGTCGTGGAGGTTGCTGTCACTGGCAAAGGGAAGGTGGAGGGTGACAGCTTGATAAACTAGTAGATGTGATAGGTACAGGGAAGCTAAACACTGAAAGACTGTGAATGCTTGAAATGTGACAATAGAGTTTGATGTTGGGAAAAGGAGTTACCAGGCGTGAGTGTTAAAGGCGAGGGTGATGCAGCTGGAGTGATGAGGATGTTGCTACTGAGTGTCATCTCACAGAAAGACTAGAGAAGGATGATTTACAGCACTGTTGGCACAAACCCCTCATCAGTCTGAAGAAGCCACAAAGATAAAACCAGTAACAAACAGTGACAGTATGTGAGCACAAGAGGAGCTGTATCAGATCGGGATGAAGATCTGTGGCTCTCAGTAACCTGTCTGCTGTTGGGTGCTGGCATTGATGCCCTGGCAGGAGTGTAAGAACGGTATGAGCATAAAATGGTGCCACTCCTAAAAACTACCTTCTGAACTTTGACTGTCTGCAGTCCAAACAGGGGCTGTCCTGAGGCAGAAGTGGATTTTGTGTGCTCAGTGACTCTCAAAGAGATTGCTCTTCCATGAACTCATCTGGTTTAAAGATGAACTTCTCAAGAGATTGGTTTTCTCCATCTTTGGGAGTTCAACTTGACCCTTTCCTGTAGAGATACTGGTCCCAGCTATTGCTGTGAGCATCCAGAGGGTTTGAGCCCTTAACATGAGACCATGTTAAGTTGTGGAGGCAAAAGTCAATGCTGTCATTTGCTTCACTCCCCATTCTTCTATGTGAATCATCCATATTCATATGCTTTATTAATGACTGTTGTTGCTCAGAAATGGGATCGATTCATTCCATTCTTGTTCTGAGCATTCCCATAATTCTGAGAGTTTGCAGTATGCCATCCCCACCATTAACGTGTTCCCTACAAACAAAAAGCACTCCAGCGAGAGCGCTGCAGTTTCACAGACACAGATGGCATTACCAGACACAAATGTCTGTCTTGGCTCCTGCACGTCGAGTTCCGTGCTGGGAGTGAAGTTAGAGAACGCTCCATCTGCTGCTTCGGTTACCAGGAGCACCGCGTGCGCTGGAGACCACCCTGCCTCGCACTTGGACTTGCACCATTAACTTCTTAAAAAAAAAATCTGGGTAATGAAGTTATTTTTCTGTCTGTAGGTAAATGGCTGCTTACCTCACAGGAGCCTTAGAGGACTGAATTAAGTGGGGAAATAGCTTGTGTCCCCTCTTTCACATCCCAGGGTGCAAGTTCCTGAGGAAAGTCCCACAGACGTGAGATCCTGGATGAGAGTGGGAAGATGCTGTAACCAAGAGCCAGCAGAAAAAGGCAATGATCTTTTAACATCAGCTTTTAGGGGAAGAAGCTTGTTATTATCACCAAAACCATTTTCAAGTAGCTCAAAACAAGCTCAGATTTTTCTGTTTAAATTCATCCAGAACTGAAGCAATCTGGATACAGCTGAGTCAATAACAACAACAAAAAAAGTACTAATTTGATTTTTCATTTATCAAAAGAGATAGCCCTGCTGAAATTATCATCCTCTTTATTAGCTTTTGTGTTTGTAGCCTTGGAAGATTATTTGCAATGCAGTGGCAATGAATAGCTACTGTTGAGGACATGAAACAGTAACAGGAATTTCTAAGAACTTGGTAATGTTTACGCTGTGGAACAAATGAAAACTAAAGCTTTAGTCACTGCAACATCCTTTTTACCTTCAAAATTCTTCCTGTTACTTGAAATATCTCAGCAGTGCTGTGATATGTCTCTATAATGATGCTGGCCTTCAGTTAAGGATGGGGTATGTTGTGTGAAACATCTACCTGTTCACAAAAGAATGCAGCTCTTTTAGCATGTCCTCAGCCCTATTCTCCCTCTCCCAGGCTGTTGTTCAGCCATCCATTCCTTTCTATTCATTCCTTTACTAAGTAGGGATGGATTTAAACAGATGCTAAAATGCTCTGCTGAGCTGTGGTCTAATTAGAAGCTGAGGGTGCCTCTGGAGACAGGGAATCGAGGGAGCTCGCAGCTCCCACAAGATAACCTGGCCCTGGCTCATGCATGTGAGAGACTTGTCTGCACTTTGTATGCCATTTGAGGATTGCTTTTGATACAAAACCTCTATAAGTACAATTCAGTAAAAAAAAATTAGACCAATACGTGTGAGCTCTCGTTAAGACTTTTCAAGCTAGCAAAGTAAGTAAAATCTGATGTCTTCAGATGGGTCCATGAGTCTCAGGTACTCCTTTGGGTAGAACTCGGAGGACTTGCAGCATCACACACGTAACTCAAATAACCACCAGTGTTTACAACAGTTTGTGGTGGCCCTGGAGCTGAACATCCTTGTCACAGGATGAAGAAACGAGTTGTGCTCTCACAGACACCAAACTGCTGTTCCAGGGGCAGACAGGCCCGGCTCGCAGAGAGCTGGCAGCTTGCTTCAGTTCACTGTGCTGCTGGGAACCTCTTCAGGTCAGCCGGGGGTCCCTGTGCGGCCCCCGCTCGTGGCAGCGGCACTCTCGGCTGTGAGCCGGGGCAGGACCGGCCGAGGGTGCGACGAGGGAAGTGTCGCTCGCTTTGGTGCCAGTGTGGTCTGGAAGTGTGATTTGCAGGCACTTCACAAACTCTCCGGTGCATGGCAGAAAACTGGCTTCTCTTATCTGGGCTGTTGTTTCTGTGTGTGACCGACTCGGACCGTAACCCCCTCAGGGCAGCAGCCGGGCCTTTCATGTGCGTTTGAAGTGCACGGCGTGTGGTGACCACGGTGTGTGACGATTTTGTTCGTTCCCTCGGGCTGGGAGCGCTCGGTACCGCTCCGCAGGAGGGGGACGGAGAGAAGGTTGGTCCCGGCAGGGCACGGGCACAAGGCCCGCTCCGGCCGCCTTTGAGCGGCCCTCCGCGGGCAGGGCTGGCCTGATGCTGGGGGGCCCTGCCGAGCGCGGGGAGCCGGGGTTCGTCATCCCTAACGGGGGAGCCGGGGCTCGTCGTTCACGAAAGCCG